CTTGGCCATCTGGTGGGTAAACTTCAGCAGAAAGGGTGAAAGGATGCCTACCTAGCCCAGGGTTTGGTTATTATCAGGGATACAGGTTTTCCCACACAAAACCCCCTGGATTTTCTAATTTTAGAAATTTTTGTCCGTGGGGTGGGGCTGGCTTCCTGCCACTGTGCATACTCCCAGGATGACCATGTGCCCCCCAGATTTGTGTGCAGGGCAGGAGAAGATGGCCGCTGTGGGCTTGGGCTCACCACCCTGCTGTCCTGCCCCCGGGCCCTCCATGGCCCAACAGACAGGACCTAGTGCGGCAGGGCAGAGTGGAGCAGAGAAGTTCAGTGCCGCAGCCGTAAGTCCTGCGCCACCATGGCGAGGCGCCCCCTGCCTACTCAGCAGCAGCAGGGGTAGCACTGTGGAGTTGTTATCCCTGCTGCTGCCGGGTAGGCAGGGGCACCTTGTCATAGCAGCATGGAGCTCCCAGCAGTGACACAAGCCTTCTTGCCTGGCCCCACTCTGCCAGTGCGCCAGGGTCCCACCCAAGGGGATGTGGAGGCCCTGGGGGGAGCCGAAGTCTGCAGCAGCCAGCCCACATCTGCCCCAGTCCATGGGCTCTGCTCTGGCTCTTTTGGGGAGAGGTGCTGAGCTTCCCACTCTGCTTCCCCACAAGCAGCAGCTGGGGCTCGGGCATTGCTGTGGGGGGCAGGGGGCTGCAGACCTTGGTCCCTGGCCTCATAGCCCTGGCAGCTGTGCACCCACTCCGGCAGGGTTGGGAGGTTGGGGAGGGGCTGTGGTTGGGGACTGAGGGGCATTGGCAGGCTCAAGGGGCTGTGAGTGTGGAGTGATGGGCATGGACCTGCATCCTGGTGAGCATAAGGGGCAGCGGTAGCTCTGATACATATTCAGAATTTATTTTATTATAGTGATTGAGGCACTTGGGAGGCTTCCAAATAGCTTTAAAATTATAAATGTATCAATAAAACATTATGTTCAGCTGATACCTATATATGTAGTGCCATTTCATTTTTATTGCAGATTTGGGGGGGTTTAATCAAAGAATTTGCAGGGCTTTTTTAATCAGAGAATTTGTGATTTTTAAAGAGGGAAAACCAGGATCCCTAGTTATTAGAGCACTTTCCTGGGAAGAAGGAAATGTGTTCAAATCCCCTCTGGCACCTGGGTCTTCCATTTCCCTTTGCTAGAAGGAGCACTAACTACTAAACTATTGGATTGAAAGATGTGTGGGTCTACCACCTGTCCCTACCATTAGTTGTATAGTTTCTGAGTCTAAAGAAGTGGGACTTGTATGGAATTTTAGATGTTTTCCAGGAAACATTAGGGTCTCAGGAGAGTGTAACAGTTGCTACCTTCCCTGTCTCAGTGTAGCAATTCCAAGTATGCTCAGAAAGCCAGAATTTTCATGTCATTTTATGAAGGGGCACAAGGTGAATTAGGATGGTATTTATTCAGATGGATGCCTAAAAGCTATATAATCGCTTCTTATAAGCACATTTGGAGTTGGCCCATTGTATACATAATGCATCAATGTTATCTATATTATTTTCTTGTTATTAGCTCCACAGTCTCATCAGTGGTATTCTTGGGGTCCCCCTAACATGCAGTGTAGATTATGTGCACCTTGCTGGATTTATTGGAAGAAATATGGTGGCCTGAAAATGCCAACACAGACAGATGAAGAAAAACTAGCTCCCAGCCAAACCACAGAGGTAGGAAACTTTTCTCAAACATTGAATGACACATTCTCAGAAGGTGCTGTAATTTATATTGGCATGTAATATTCTCGGACCTATGCTAAAAAACCCCAAGGGTTTTTTTGTTCGGTTGGAGTTTTTTTGTTTGTTTGCTTTTTTCTTAGGAAATACAACTGTTAGATATTTTTTCTAGATTGAGTGTGCTTGGTTCTGTACAAAGGATAGGGTAAAAGGTGCCTGAAATACCTTACAATCTGAAGGACCTACATAGAAAATATTTACTTTTTTGTATGGAATTAATCCCTTGCAGAGTTGCTCTGATTTCCAAGTATTTTGTATGCAATTAATCCCTTGCAGAGTCGCTCTGATTTCCCTGGAACTGAGTGAAAGTTGCACCTGAGCAAAGATCCAGCACAAGGTCTGGATCTATGCACTACTGAGTCCTGATTTTGACTTTTTAAATTGGTTTCAGTGGCATATAGGTCTTCTGCTGGCTTTGAAACACAGCCCAAAGTAGAAAAGTGCAATCCTTCATGCATCTCTGATGGGTTATTCAGTCTCACCTTGTCATTCAAAGTCTGTTATGTGTTTGCAGGTGTAAAAAAAACAAACAAACCCCAAAACCAGTGCTTCACTTTAAACTTGGTGTGTTCTTGCACTGAGCCCCGTGCACGCCCAGAAGAGACAACACGTTACTTCAGCCTGACTTGCCTGACATCTGTAAAGATTGGCCGCTTTAGTGGGGCTTTTTTGGCACTTTTATCTAATAGCTGATTGAATCGGCTATAGCTCAAAAGCCCAAAATTCCTGCT